ATCCCTGTTATATCTAGATGGGACCAGGCAAAATAGTCGATGTTATTGATAAGAAATTGAATGAGTTTCTTCCTGAGTTCAGGGCTCAAACCCGTTCCCAGGTATACCTTTCGTTCGGGCCGATGTTCGATCAGTACGATTTGCTCGAGTTCCTCAATTATTGATTTGGTGGCATCGAAATCATCAGGGGTTACGAAGGATCGAGGGATCCATCGATCATCATCGTCTTCTTCAACATTCTGCTTACCTGGCTGGGTCGAAGCCGATGTCTGTGATTGCTATTTGGCACTCTGCTTTGAACCTGATCCTTTTATCGGTGAAGGCGAGGATATTGATTTTGCTTCTTCGACGGAGAACATTTCTTTTGCGGCCAGTTTTTTCCCGTACACTATTTTGACACCTCCCGATGTTGAGAATTTGAGGACCTGGTGTAGGGTCGAGGGTAAGACTCTCATGCTGTGGATCCACGGCCTTCCGAAGAGGGCGTTATATCTCATTTCACCTTCGATCACGTGAAACTTTATTTGCTGGATGTTTCCGGCCACGTTTATCGGTAGGGTAATCTCGCCTTTAATGGTTTCACATGCCATATTGAATCCGTTTAGAACTAGAGTTGCGGGTACGACCTGATCTTGCAGGCCGAGCTGTTCTACGACTCTCGATCTGATGATATTGGCCGAGCTACCTGGATCAATTAACACACGCTTAATCTTAGTTTTATTCATGAGTACAGACATTACTAGTGCATCGTTATGAGGTTGGAATATTCCCTCTGTATCTTCATCACTGAAGGATAAAGTCTATGTGGGTGTATAATCTTGAGTTCGAGATCGCTTCACAATCGATGTTTTAGTGCGTTTAAGCATCGGTCCATGGGTGGCATCGACACCGCCGACGATCATGTGAATGATGTGTTGCGATTCTTCTGGCTCGTTTTGCTTGCCGAATTCCTTGTCTCTAAAATGGATCTTTGCCCTATCGCTCAGAAATTCCCGAAGGTGTCCTTTGTTAAATAAGCGGGCCACTTCCTCTCTTAGTTGCCTGCAATCTTCGGTTCTGTGGCCATGGGTGCCATGATATTCGCACATTTGATTGGAATTCCTTTGGGCAGGATCGGTTTGCATGGGTCGAGGCCATCTGATGTCTTTGATGCGTCCGATGGCCGATACGATGGCGGATGTACCAATGTTGAAGTTATACTCCGATAGTCGAGGGACTTCTACAGGATCTGTATATTTATCAAAGCCGCTCTTGCTCATAAGTCCCCGAGAATTTTGCCCCCGATCAATCCTTCGGTTGTTCCGAACCGTATCACGTGCTGAACCGTTGTTCATCCGATCTGTGTCGTACGGTTGGTATCGGTCTCTGTTCGACCTTTGTTCTCTGTTGGTTTCCCTTTGATTTTTAGTGGTTGTGTGGTTCTGACGTACGGGCCCATACGAAGCTCCCAATTGATCATCTTCGACCCTGATTTTTGATTGGTACGGTTGTGTACATCTGCCCAAGTTATTGCTGGGTACTCGATCAAATTTTGTTTCAGCCAACGTGATGCTGTCGAACTTAGCCCGTTCAGTCCTTGGGTGAAAGCTTGTACGGCCCAATCGTTTGTGACCGGTGGCAAGTCCATACGCTCCATTTGAAATCGGGATACGAATTCCCTCAACATTTTGTTACCCCTTTGTTTTACTTTGAAGAGGTCCGATTTCCTCGTTGCAACCTTTATGGCACCAACATGTGCTTTTACGAACGAGTCTGCTAACATGGCGAAAGAATCAATGGAATTTGGTGGTAAGTTGTGATACCAGATCATTGCTCCCTTTGCGAGGGTCTCTCC